AAATAAGCAATTAAATTAAAATGAGCAAACCTAAATATGTACAATAGAACATTTCTTACTGTTTTCTGAACTTGTTATTGAGCAAAATGGAATTAAAATGAGCAAATATTAATGAGATTCACAGGTAATTCAAGGATTTATAAGTACTCAGTATACACAATATACAATGCATTTTGCTTTTCCAAATATAGGAGCATGAATAACTCAATCTTACAATAATCAACGGTTATAATGATTTAGATAAAGTCGAAGCTACCAATTCTGTAAAGATGGTTAGTTAAGGAATAAACACAATTGTTCTGAAAAAATGTGCATAGATTATGAGCAAAAATAATTAAAATGAGCAAATATATTCAATATGAGCAAACATAATATGAGTTATCCTTGGTCTGCTTGCTTGTGCACAAGCCCCACCCCCTTCTTGGTCTGTTTCTTGCACACCAACCCTACTCCCTTCTTCCACTTCCCTGCACAAACCTATCCCCCTTGCTCCCTCCTTCTTCTGCTTGCAGTTCTGATTTTAGATTCTGATTTCAAAACTGATTTCAATTCTAATTTTCGATTATGAAATTATTGTGTGTGTGTGTGTGTGTGTGTGTGTGTGTGTGTGTGTGTGTGTGTGTGTGAGTTTAAGAGTGTATGTGTAAGTGTGTGTGTTTGCTTCTGCCCATGTACGTTCTTATTTAAGAATCTGATTTCAGTTCTAATTATTGAGTGTGTGTGTGTGTGTGTGTAAGTGTGTTTAAGGGGTTACAGAATTGCAGCAGATCAATTACAATTATGTTTTCTATATTATTGTGTTATTCACTTGTTATTGTTTTGTTGAATTGTTCTTCACTTGTTCATGACTTGTTATTTCTATTATGTTTAATAACAGAAATGATGAGCAACAACGAACAACTTGAGAATGATTCTAGTGCCATCACAAATGTGCCAACTACTCTTACAATAATAGTTTCTCCTAAAGTAGCACCTTTGCACACTCTTGGAGGAACAAAAGAATGACTTTCAATATGCCCCAATGAGTTGAAACCAGCTATAGGGATGAAGTTTAATAATCTTGAAGAGGTCTTGAATTTTATAAAGCTTAAGCATTTGATTCAACAAAAGGAAGTCTACAACTAAAAGGCAAAGAAGAAGCAAAGAATTGAGTCATCATGATATTAGAAATTGTCCAAAAAAAGTGTAATGATACTTTTATATACATATATGATTTAATATTTTTAGCACATCCCCTCATTATTTATTGAACATATAGAAATTTTGTTGAATTTTTATATTAAATAATATATTTTTAATTTTATATTGCTCATAATTTAATGAGCAAATTAGCTATTGAATGAACTTGCAGCAATTGATTCTATCATTGAATCAAATGAATCTTTGGTTGCAAATCAATAATAAATAACCTATAATATTCTAATCATTTGATAAATAAGCAAAAATTTAGTTACTTATTTGTTAAATGAGCAAATAGTTAGTTGCTCATTTGTCAAATGAGCAAGCATTTTTTTTAATAAATGAACAACAATTATTTGCTCATTTGTTTAATGAGAAAATAATAAGTTACTCAATTGTAAAATAAGCAAACAATTATTTGATCATTTGTCAAATGAGCAAGCAATTTTTTGCTCATTTAGAAAATGAGCAAATATTTAGTTGCTCATTTGTTAAGTGAGCAACAACTTAGTTGCTCATTTGTCAAATGAGCAAATAGTTAGTTGCTTATTTATTAAATGAGCAACAATGTAGTTGCCCATTTGTTAAATGACCAAATATTTAATTGCTCAAGCATTTCTTTACTCATTCATTAAATGAGTAAATAGTTCCTTACTTATTTGTAAAATGAGCAAAAGAGTTAGTTGCTCATTTGTGAAATTAGAAAACATTTCCTTAATCATTCATCAAATCAACAAGCATTTCTTTGCTCATTTGGGAAATGAGCAAACATTAGTTTGATGATTTGTCAAATGAGCAAATAATTAGTTACTCATTTGTAAAATAAGCAAACATTTCTTTGATCATTTGGCAAATGAGCAAATAATTAGTTGCTCATTTGTCAAATGAGTAAATACTTAGTTGCTAATTTAACAAATGAGCAACAACTTAGTTGCTTATTTGTCAAATAAGCAAATAGTTAATTGGTCATTTGTCAAATGAGCGAACATTTCTGTAATCATTCTTTAAATCAGCAAGCATTTCTTTGGTCATTTGTGAAATGAGTCATCAATTCTTTGCTCACAAGACAAATGAGCAAATAGTTCGTTGCTCATTTGTAAAATGAGAATATTTCAAATAAACACTAGGTATAAATGACAAAGTATTTCAAGTAAAAACTAAAAATAGATCGATCCAATTTCGATTCAAATATAACCACCACAAAAGTCAACATAATCAAAAGGGTAGCCTCTTGTTAAATTAACTATTTACATCATTTTTACATCATTCAAAGATTAACAAAGATTCAATTTCGATTCAAACTAAGTATCTAATTTCGATTCAAATCAACACTACTAAACTGCTTACAAGTTGATAAAATCATTATTTCCCTACTTCCCTAACCCTAGAAAGCCAAATCAACACTACCAAGTATTTAAATCAACACAACCAAGTAAAATACTGAGGTTTCACTAACAAGTAGCTTTTTTCAGCCTTTCTCTTAACAGAAACTTTCTTCTGTTTTTTCTTCTTCTGATGAATTTTTTTAACGGGCTGAATTGTGTTTACTTAACTTGAAGTTATTGACAGGGTGTACTTCACACAAAGTTTTTTCATGATTATCACCTGTAAGAAATAAAATAGAAAAAATAAAGCAACAAGAAAATTTTAAAAAATATAAATGCAAGAAAGAGAGTGAAGGTGGAGCAGAAGAATATAATAGATAATTGCTTGCTGATTTGACAAAATAAGCAAGAATTATTTGCTCATTTGACAAAATGCGCAAAGAATAATTTGCTCATTTGAAAAATGAGCAAATAATTGCTTGCTCATTTGACAAATGAGCAAGATTTATTTGCTTAATTAACAGATTAGCAAAAAAAAAATAAAATTGGTCATCTGATAAATTATCATTGAATAAGAAAATAAGACCAAAACATCTTACTATTAATGATACTATAATATGAAAGACTTATATTATTCTTAATGAGTAAATTTTACTCCATGTGCATGAAACATCTAATGGTAGAACCTCTAAAAAGTAAATTTTTATAGCTATCACTGACTCGTTGTACTAAGTCACATTGTCAATACCTCTAAAATTCAAAAAAGCCAACAACCTATTGCCTAATAAAAAAATTAAACAAAACTCAAAAAAGCTCAATCCTAAACTCTTCTCTATGCTGCTACCCTCAATCAGCCGATAGCCTACTACCTAATCATTAACCTTCACCAAAACTTTTATCTTACACCACAACTCCACCCTCACCTTACCCAATTACACGCACAACAACAACAACAACAACAACACAGCCATTTCAGCCACAATATTGACACTATTTGAAGGAAGCAAATTATGATTTCAACCATTTCTATCACTAATGAAACACAAATATGCATAGAGCGGCATTACCAAATCATGCTAGAGAACAGGTTATCACTATGTGCAAACATCCCCAAAATTTAGTCCTAATTGACCAATTACCATGCAAGCATAGTAGGTAAGGTGTAGTATGTAATTGTTGGAGATTGGAAAATGATGGTAGCAAGTAAGGTGTAAGGTGTAGTATGTAATTGTTGGGTATTTGCTCATTTGTCAAATGAGCAAATAAATATTTTAGTATTTGCTACAGATTATGCATGACACTAGACTACAGATTATGCAACTACAACTACAACTACATCTACAACAACTTAGATTATGTCGACACCAATCCTTGACTGCAGTAGATCATTGAACAAGATCATGTTCAAGAATGTACTCCCTCAGATTTCTCTAAAAAATGCAAATCTTGCCTAAATTTGGATCTACTTTTAAATTTTGTAGGCTCCTACTTCCTAGTTGTATGCATTGTCTAATGCTCGAATGGTTGTTGTACAGTGCAAAAAATTTTGTTTTGTCTACAAAGTTGGAAGTTTATTTTTCCTGTCTAGACTTCTCTACTCATTTTGAATTAGTTCGATTTAAGATTCACATAATGAAAGTATTGCTATGTTGTCAAACAAGAATTATATAGACAGACATCGACGTGCAACAGTTTAGTAACTCAACATTCAATTCCACACCTATACAATGAATTTAAAGTCTCACATTCCATGGCTAGCCTAACATACAGCTACCACACTCTAAAGGCAGAATGGGACACAAGTACATGCTAAAATACAATATGTAATTATGATTACCCTCAGACTAATTGATATGTATTCAGTTAATTAGAACTCAAACATATGTAACATCATATCAGAGACTTTTATCAAACACTTGGTGTGCACATTACATTCCCTTAATTAGAAATCAATTATTACTACCGTAAAACTCAAAACATTTACACTAAACACAATTACATGAAATAATTGAGCAAAAACGGACTTAAATGTTCACAAAAACACAAAATCAGAAAAATATCATCAAAGTTATCGACACAAACACAAAATTCATAAAATTTGATGATGAAATTGAAAAAATCGAACACAAAGTGATAAACTAAGCCGAAAAAATCGAACACAAATTGAAAAAATTAAGCCAAAAAAAACCGAACACATGCACAAATTGAAAAAATTAATCCAAGAAAATCAAACACAATTTGAAAAAAAAAAAAAAAAATTAAGCTGTAAAAATGAATTTTTTTTTAAAAAAATTGAACATTATACATTGAAAAAATCTATTAACGTAGAAGAATTTGATGATAAAATTGATAAACTTACCATATTATACTGTTATCACATAACGGATGTGTTATCACATGATCCCATATATATATATATATATATATATATATATATATATATATATATAAGTTATAATGTGCCAATTTTAAAAAGTTAATGACTTATTATATATAACATTCTGTCACAAAGTTTATTAAAATCTTTAAAGCTTTGTATTGCTCAAAGTATTGCGATTAAGTATAAAAAGAAAAGGAAAAAATAGAAGCAGTTTCATGGCTAAAATGTTGAGGCGGCGACGAAGGTGGTCCCCATGTCTTAAGCATAAGAAAAGTGTGACAATAACATATATGATCAAAGTAGTTTCATTTTTCATAGTTGAGATAAAACTCCCCCATATATCTCACACCTTTGTCTCTAGGTTGTTACATTACCTGTGGGGGGTCCCACACTTACACGTGTAGCCTTCTTAATGGTACGGTTTGGTACTTGAGTGGCAACCACCAGCCAATACTCCTTTCCTTTGCCTCCCCCTAATATTTCCCACCCACATTAATACTATATTTGCCAAACAAGGCATTACATAATTTCAACTTTATTATAAAAGGCATGACCAAATTATCATAATAAAAAAAAAAGTTTTTAAGGTACTTGTACATGTACATGATATCATTTTATTTTCAACAACAAAAACTATGGAAAGCACAGACTCTTCCTCTACACAACCTTACCCTCAGCTACCTCCCGGTTTTCGCTTCCATCCGACTGATGAAGAACTCATTGTTCATTACCTCAAACGGAAGGCCTCATCCTCGCCTCTTCCTGTGGCGATCATAGCCGAGGTTGATTTGTACAAGTTCGACCCTTGGGAGCTTCCTAGTACGTGTACATACACATATAAATTAAACAATATAATTAAATTATTTTATGTTCAACTTTTGTACTGTAAAGATTATGTTATGATATGATACTATATGTTTTTTTTTTTTTTTATTGTATTGTTTAGGTAAGGCGATATTTGGAGAACAAGAGTGGTACTTTTTTAGTCCTAGAGATCGGAAGTACCCAAATGGGGCCCGGCCAAATAGAGCCGCAACTTCAGGTTATTGGAAAGCTACAGGAACTGATAAGCCTATATTAACATCTAATGGTAACCAAAAGGTTGGTGTTAAGAAGGCTCTTGTTTTCTATGGTGGTAAACCTCCTAGAGGGATCAAAACTGATTGGATCATGCACGAGTATCGCGTTATTGATGCTAATTCTAGCTCCAAGTTGCCTCATCCTCTCGTCGATCATCCCTCCAAGAAGGCCTCTCTTCGGGTACGTATGTATGATTAATTATTTGCTTAGCTTCTTCAATTCCGTACCCTAAGGTTTGCACTTGTTTTTGTTAGTCGTGCTATGATGAGCTCAAATTTTGTTTTCCATGTCATGTCATGTGTGTAAAAAACATACAACTTTTTAGGACATGCATGTTTTGATTTTCACCTTATTTTCATCGAATTGAAATGATTGAAGTTATAATTTTTTCATAATTTACTTAAACTGGTTTTTATTGATCAAAATTGATTTTGTTAATTCAATAGTAATTTTGTTTTTATGAGTATATTACAACACCCATAATATAGTTGCATTTTTTTGCATGTCAATATTAATCAATTGGTATATTTGTATTGCATGTACTGAAACAATTTCTTCCTTTTTTTTTTTTGGTGATTGATAACTAGCTTGATGATTGGGTTCTATGTCGGATTTACAAGAAGAACAACACTCAAAGACCGATGGATCACGAACGAGACGATCTAATTGAGGAGATGATAAAGCAACAAAAGCTAATGAGAACAATCTGCTCAAAAAACACACCCTCTAGTGGATTACTAATGGATCATACTAACAATGATCAAAACATATATGAATTCTCAAAATTAGGCCCTTCAGCCTCAAGGCATGACTTGTACGGAATGCAAGGGGATGACAACAACAACCGCGAACATCTATACTGGGATGATCCGATGGGATCCCTCGGATCATCCTCAGGTCGTCGATTCCACCACCCACAATCCGATCAGACGACGGGGAGTACCGGGACAGATGGAAATAGCTCATCATTTGTATCAATGTTAAGCCAACTACCTCAAGGGATCAATACTAGTGGTGTCCCTTTTAGTATGGGGAGTCCCTTACTAGTTGGGAACATTGGTGATGGTGTTCTAAGGCCTCCTTTTCAGCTTTCTGGTGGAACATGGAATTCATAGTTTAATTTCTTCATCAAAATCACGGGAAATTCATACTCTTATTGAAGCAAATACAAGTGTAAGAAAGTATACTGTATACATAACTATTAATGATTTATAATTTTATATGTATTATTGCATTGTGAGAATTTTACTAGGAAAATACAGGATTTTGGTAGTTTATTGCATATTTAGGGGTTAATTGTTTTTTTTGTTTTGCATGTCGTTATGCCTTAAATCATTGTTACTAAAGAAAAATATATAGTAATACATGCTAGCTTAGTACGAAGTTAGGAATACCCTTCAAAATAAATAAAAGAAGTTAGGAGCAACACGTTAATATAAGCTAGGTTTATATACGACTATGCATATATAAACATGTATGAACTACATAGTATTAATAATATAAATCGCTAGCGTAATGCCACATGTACCTTATACTTTTGATCTTTCCTTACTACGTAATTTGTATTATTTTTCCTTTTTAATCGGGTTGTATTTTTCCTTAAATTGTATATAACTTTGTTTAAAAATTCAACATACGTAAATAACGCTCTATGTTATGTTGTTTTATATATGATTTTTTGCATTGTGGTCTTTTGACTGATGTGTTTATTTCTAAATTAAAAGCTATACACACAATTTGAAGGACATTTATACCTACTCATTAAGTCATTAGTATTTCTAAACACAAATTACTATCACGTGTACGTTTCTGTTGGTCTTTCCACATAGTTTCTTTTTTAAAAATTAATCCTAATTCAATGTATTACTGTAGTTATTTTTTCCTTTCATCCATCATTCTCTCTCTCAAACTTTTCATCTATCTCATAAGAAAATATATGATAAAATAATAAGCGTTGGTTCTATTGAACTCATGGTATTGTTTAGAATTTCAACTCAACTCTATTTAGCTTCATCTAGTTCAATTCATTTCATATCAATTCCGTATACTTATATACCAAACAAAAGTAATTCAGTATACCTATATATGCCACTGTAAAAATATCTATAGTAATATTTTTTTAATAACATGAAAATTTGAAAGGAATCCTGAATATTACTTTTTTTTTTTTTTTTGGTAAATACCACAATTGGCTTGTCTCCTTTTTTTTTTATTTTTTTTTATGTCCCTTTAACTCAAAATCATGCCTCTTCTACTCTTCAAATAATTCAAATAGTTATCATAACCATTCATCTTCTCATTCAATGACTCCCTATCACAAATATATATTCCCATCATATCATATCATATTATATAATATCACTAATAAATAAAGTCGGTCTCGCAACCAGGCCACGAGACATCGACATTTGGCATTCCAATTTTTCGCCAAGTGCCACGCCACGTATGAGATAAATATGTATTATCGTGACACATACGATGCAAACTAAGCGATTTTTGGATAGATTTTTTAAGATAAGATTGTTGTATAGAGTTTTATTATCGATAGGATTCTAATATTTCATATATACAAAATTAATCATTACTTTTAATAAATATCCTATAACTCAAAGCTATTTCCATCATCAAATTCGTTTTAAGAAATTCTTTAAAATAAGATCCATTTATCATATATTTAATCACAAACTTTTATACGTAACTAGCCAAACCGTGTCACCAACTATTACAAGAGTTACTTCGTTAGTGCTATAGGGGTTTCTTGGTCAGTGTTATAGTGGTTACCCAATCAGTGTTATAGATAGGGGTTACTTAGTCATTGTTAGAGGTTACTCAGTTAGTATCACAGGGGTTACTCGGTCAGTTTTATAGGGGTTACTTTTCCGGCCAGATGGTGTGGCTAGCCGCATACAAAATGCATTGTTATTTAATTTATCTAAAAAATATATTAGAGAATCAGTAAAAATAATTTTAGTTTGGTAAAAATACTTTCAGTTTACCGAAGATAATTTAAATTCAATAAAAATAATTTCACACACACACACACATATATATACAAACAAAACTACAAAAAGTACACTATTATATAAATATAAGTCATTTGATATCGTATGTCTAAATATCCTACATTATCAGAACGAATTATTTGATCGACTTAACATTCAAGTAAAAATGTTCTCTTAAAATTTTATAAACCATCTGAGCATCGCTCGGGGCACAAAACTAGTCACTAATAAATAAAGTCGGTCTCACAGCCAGACCACAAGACAGCGACACTTAGCATTTCAGTTTTTTGCCAAGTGTCGCGCCACGTAGGCAAAAAATAGATATTATTATGACACATATGATACTAAGTAAGTGAATTTAAGTAAGTGAATTTTGGATAGTTTTTTTTAAGATAAAAATGTTGTATAGAGTTTTATTATCAATGCACTTATAATATTTCATATATATATTAATTAATCATAACTTTTAATAAATACTCTATAACTCGTTCTATTTCCATCATAAAATTCATTTTAAAAAGTTCTTTAAAATAAGATCCATTTATAATATATATAATTTTTTTAAAAAAATAGTAGAGAATTAGTAAAAAAAAAAAAAAAAAATTAAGTTCAATAAAAATAATTTCAAGTCAATAATAATATAGATATCTATTCACAAACAAAACTACAAAAAATACACTATTATTTAATTAAATAAGCGATATGGCATCATATGTCTATATATCCTACATTATCAAAAGGGATTGTAGGACCATATTTAACATTCAAGCAAAAAAGTTTACACTGAAATTTTATCAACAATCTGGGCATCATCCGGACACAAAACTAGTATATAAAATATAAAAGATTTTCTTTATTAATTTTAAATACGGTAAATTCTTAAGTTATGATTTTATTTTTTTTTTAAAAAAAACACAAAATTAAATATAATCATTTGACCATTGGATGGTCAAGTTAAAAAAAAACCATTTTATAAAAAAAATAAAATTTAATCCGTGCAGTACAAGCGTTAATTTAAGTGGGTTTTTTTTTAATGTATAGAGAACCACAAAAACAATGGTTTAATTTTTTTTTTTTTTTTTGTCCCGGGTTTTAGCTAGCTAGGTATTATCGCCCACAACTTTACCAACAAAATTAGCTAATTAGCATCGACATCAACTTTAAATTCATCGACCTAAGAACAAATCTTGCACCCCTTTTAATATCTAACTTCCAATAATTTAGATTAATTTGATATCTAGGGAATATAGAACAAATCGGGAAACCTCAAGTGCAACATGTTGGACCATAGCTTACTTAATAAAGGGGAATCAAATATTTAATCTCTTCTAATCCTGTTTCCAGATCCCATTTCCATTTTAAGGAAAGAGTACAAAATGCCTTTTCAGATTTGATGTCATTAAGACTTACATTTAGTGTGTAGACTTTGACATAAGCTAATGAAAACAACGTGATTCTAATAATTCTATGGTTCTCATTTCTTAGTGGACGACGGGTTTCTACTTTGCCAATCCTTGCTAGCCACGTAAATAATCTTGATTAAGTTAATTTTGTGTATCTTGGAGATTATGTTAATTAAATCACTTCTAAATCATATTATTTTCATCAATATTTGTTAGTGGGGCTTGCCCCTCTCTTTCCTAAAAAAAAAAAGAAAAAAAGAAAAAAACAATTGTTGTTAGTCATGTTTGTGATTACTATTATCTAATAAGTATATATAAATTTGATGTTAGTATTGAGTAGTTTGAATGGAATAAATACTTGTTATGTATTATATTAAGGACTTGCTCGATCTTTACTCCAAATAATACTTGTGTTTATTTTTAACAACGTGCAATATATTAAAAATCTAATAATTAAATTAAGGAAAATGCTATATATAGCTCTTAGGGCTACATGTGAGCATTAAATACACATTAGAAAATTGTATAAATTTAGGAAATCATAAAAATATAAACACTAATTACACAATTTATGCATATTTTTATCATGAATTCCAAATTTTATACAATTTTCAAGAGTGTATTTAATTCTTATATGTAGCCATTACCCTTAAATTTAATTTGACGACTTTAATAAACTTAAAAATAATACGGAGTACTTCACATATAATCTCACAAATCACGATAACCTGACTATGAAAATAGTTAAGTTTCCCATTCAATTAATTGTGTAGTTTTGTTCTAGATATTTTATTAAGTTTCCAAACCAGGAGTAATTGAATTGTTTCTCTGCCCTATGATCAAGCAAATACAAGTATTAGTGAAGTATGTAGCTTAGTCTCAAACTTGATGTTAGCTTGTTGTTGGTCAAACCATTTCAAATAATTGACACAATAGAATCATAAAATAGATAATATTATAACAACAAGATAATATATTTTTTGTTTAAAATATTAATATGCATTTTTTTTATTTGCAGGTAAGATGAAGCTAAGGAAATCTCATCCTCTAAATTGTCACTGGAGGAGATTAAACCTCCGCCCTCATGATTAAAAGATGTTCTCCTTTCCACTAGACGAAGCTTAGCTTGATACTCCGTATTAAAGACTTACGAAGATAATCTTTCTTCCTTACCGCTTCTCTCACTAGAAAACCCCAACCTTATCCTCCCACCGTTTCCCCTGTCCTCAACCCCCCTTGCTTGCCGGCGATCGGCGCCCCTCTCCTAGCCATCGCCGGCGAGTCCTGATCTTCCTCGTTTACTTTATTTTGCTTTATTTTCTAGGTGTTTTTTGGTAAAGGAACTAGGGGGTTTCCAGAGCTAGTTTGTTCTCTAAGTTCATCGGTGGTTCATCTCGTTTTGGGTGTCGTCAAGTGGTTTAGCATCTTCTCCAACGAAACAAGGACCCAAGGCTATTCTTAACGCCGCCGTCGAAAGGAATTCTGTTAATTGTTTCCCGACGGTAAAGGTGAAGTTAAGGCTAGGGTTTTCTCACCTAATCGAAGTCTGATTCTGGTGAGGCAGCTTTCTTGCATTGGCCTTGACGGTTAATCGGAGTTTTTCAGGTGTGTTTCCTCTGGTGAGGTAGTTTGGTTGTTCGCTTTGTCGCTTCCCTCGGTATTCCTTTTCCTTGTTCTAATTAGTTTAGTCTAAGTTCTCTTGGTTAGTTCTTTGTTTTGCCTTGTTCGAGTTTTCTCTTAGTTTTATGTTGTGTTTGTTTAGTTTATTTTCCTTAATAAGTCTGGTAATTAGGCTTCTAATAGTTGGAGTTCCTTTGTTTGAAATTGTTGTTGGCTGTCCATGGATTTCTTTTGTCTCGGGCTGTATGTTTTTGCTTCTTGGTCTGCTCTGTGGTGGGTACAAGGGCTAAGGGAGGTAGTTTGGGGTATTGTTGTTAGGACTTGGCAGGTGCTAGTCCTTTGGTTTAATTCATAGGAGTTGTTTCTGTTTGTGGTTTTGAGGTTGAGATGTTTTATCCTCTATAGGGTTAGACTTTTGGGAAAGCGTTTTAGCCTATTTCACTATGCAA